CTTATTTAACACCGTCTTAAAATTGGATGCCCTATTTAACACCGAAAAAATATTTCTTTCCTTTATAACATCAACTCTAAATTTTGTTCCCAATATAACACTTGTGTCCAATATTTGAGTTAACAGTGTTAAATGGTGTATGAAATGACAATTTTGCCCTCAAACATCTAGCCAATCTGCCCCTGTATTTCTATGTCATATTTAAAGGTGGGATAACACGAGTCGGTGTGGCCAAAAGGTTGTGCAGACTGTGCCGCACCTGCCGGGGCCAGTGGCAGCACGCCGTGAGAGCGGAGTTGATCGATCCAGCAAGCTAGCCTTTCACATGTACGTGCGTCACGTACGGCTAGACGTGTGTGCACTATTCCGCAGCAAGATCAATCAAGCAGCTAGCTTTTGCACGTACGTATGCAGCCCTCCGATGATTTGTATTAGCGTTCTAAAACAAACAGAGGCACCGGGAAAAAAGAGTGAAATTTTTGGTGATATACTAGTGCCAAGGGTAGTATTGTCATTTCAGGCGCCATTTAACACTGTTAGCTCAAAAAATTGACGAAAGTGTATATATTGGGAATAAAATTTAGAGTCAATGATAGATAGGGAAAAAATATTTTGCCAGTGTTAAATAGGGAATCCAATTTTAAGATAGTGTTAAATAAGGAATTCTTTCGCTAATTTATGGCCTTCTTTTCAAACATGGACGATGCTGACACTTCCTTAGCACGAAATTGATGCATGCGGAAGAGAGCGAGCTGAAAAGTGCAAAGAATAAGCCTAGATGCATCCAAAGTGTTATTTTCGACCAACGACCTCCACTTGAGCTTCAGTAGAAGCACCCTTGGCCTGTACTCCACTATCGACGCTTTGCATCACAATTCGATCACTATTCAACTATACTTAGGAGGTTGAATTGTCTAATTTACAAGCAATGGCTTTTCTCTCTTTATCTGGTACGAACGGATAAGTGGCTATCAGGTTAATATCTTTTGCTTGGCATACACATAGGTATCATGCATGTCTTTTTCTTTCTTTCGAAAAGGGATACGCCGACCTCACATCATATGATGCACACAATTATTTTATAAGAATAAACAGTTTTACTAAAGCATATCTAAATGTGCCTTAAATATTGCACGTCTAAATCCTATGCCATTGATTTTACGTAAAGATTCGTGCAAGCATTTTCATTAGTCTTTTTTCCTTTTCTTTCTAGTTTGATTGGGTCAATTAGATGTGCAATAATTAGAGCACATCTAGATGTGCCCTAGATAGACCAAAAAAATAAAAGGCATAGTCATCGAGTACCAGAAGATTTATAGCAAAATACGACCAAAAGGTCAAAACAAGATTATATAGCTCATCCACATAATCCGCTACTGACATGCCGGCCAAAATCATTGAACAAAACTAGTGCAACCATTTTCAGACTGCTGCACCCAAAGGCCATATGCCCTGTGCATCCACACGTTGTAGTGGTGACCATATACATCAACTGTCAAGGTTGTACAAAAAATACCCGAAGTAAGAATTACATCCAGGTCCGTAAACGACCTAGCAACGACTACAAGCACTGGAGCGAGCCGAAGGTGCGCCACTGTTATCGCCCTCCCTCATCGGAGTCGGGCAAACATTGTTGTAGTAGACAGTTGGGAAGTCGCCGTGCTAAGGCCCCATAGGACCAGCGCACCAGAACATCAACCACCATCGAGGAAGAGAAGCCTAGATCGGAAGGATCCAACCCGCAGACACATAGACGAACGAAGATTGGATCCAAGCGGATCAAACGAAAACAAACGCCGACCGGATCCCATGGATCCGCCGGAGACAGACCTCCACACGCCCTTCGACAATGCCAGAAACATCGCGAGAACGAGGGCTAGGCGGGGAGGACCTTACGCCATCTTCAAGAAGCTGTCGCCACCTCGTCTTCCTGAGCAAGGCACAAACCCTAAAGAAACTCAAAAAAACAAGGAAAAACGGAGCCCTCCCGTCGACGAGGGCCGGGGTAGACCGCGCCTCCATGATCCAAGGAAAATAGAAGATGAGGCGGACCAGCCTGTCGCCGGCGAGAGGTGGGGAAACCCTAACTGAGTGGTCAAAACAAGATTGCATAGCTCATCCGCTACTGACACGCCAACCAAAATCATTGAACATAACTAGTGCAACAATTTCCAGATGTTGCACCCAAAGGCCATATGCCCCCGCGCGTCCACACGCCGTAGTGGTGACCATGTACAGATTGACGTCGTAGCTCGGAAGAAAACCTGTAAAAAGTTTGGAATAGATGATCTGTTAAAACCACACGCATTGCTGAAATTCTAAATTGCCAAAGAATGGGACAAACTCCCACAACTCCCACATGAATTTCGCCCTTCACGTTATGATGAAAACCATCCAATCAATTACCAAACAAATTTGGTATACTTTTTGATGCCGATTTTTTTAAACAAAAACCCAGGGAGGGGGTTGGGATCATAGGTGAGAGAAAAAAAGGATAGAGGGGATGGGAGGTGTGTCTGGGTGGGGGCACGACAAAACCTTACATCCTTTCTAAGTAGGAGAGATCATGTGTTCCTCGTGCCTATCCGCCCCTGACCCCCTAAGAGCATCTCCAACAGATCCCCAGTCTTCAATAAAATTCTGGTTTGCGAAATTGTGCCTAAAAATGAGCTCCAACAGATCCCCTTAGATTATGGTGATCACCAATAATTTAGCCTGACTCCCCTATATGGAGGGGGGCT